CACAGAACAATAAAGAAATTGTAATTTACAGCAGTTTGGGTTCAGAACTCAAGCAGCATTTAGATAATTTCCATAAAACAACCCCTGCACAGTCACAAGCTAGACAGAATCCATTGAAACGCTTAACTGCAATTATTACAGAAAACAAAATACTTAATTTTACAAATGAAAAAAATGACATTAAATTACATTCAGTAGCTTTATTAAGCCACAGCTGGGATTAATAGAATTATTGGCAGGGATTATTCAGTAGCCTCTTAACTTTGGTAGAGCCATGTCCCTACTGTCCATACTCAAATCCACATTCATGCTTTTGGGTTAAAAACTGGTATATTAATTGGTTGCGAATGTCAGATATACCTCAAAATATACTATGTCCATGACCTCTTGTGCCTTTGCTTGGCTCCGAAAAGTTCTGCCATGTCTCTTCGGCTCAAGTTTGTACAAGCTTATGGCAATGTTAAATAAAACTGATTTATCAGCAAGACACGTCATGTTGAGAGAATACTAAAATGAGTCTGGTGACAGAATTGGGCCTAGTGCCAGCAAGACTCAGAGGTGAAATGAAATGAAGTTCCACAGACTTTAAACAGACACTAGGCCCGCTCAGACTAGACTGGAAGAGCGTGCTTGGCTGGCCTGATCTACATGACTACCATAAGCCTGGTATAAGATTCAATTCTGAGACTCTACATAAACTGAAAACAAACAGAAGTAGAGATTCATGATGCTTTAAAAAAAAAATCTGCTAAAGCAAAAAAACTGTTTCAGTCAAACGAAGGTGACATTTCCTTAAAAGTAAGACACGCCAAGCTCTGAGACACATTAGCATGTTGCAAAGTGCACATAGAGCACAAAGCAGTAGTGTGAACAAGAATCCAGTCGATATAAACAAATCTTCCAGGAACAAAAGCCTTGTAATGACCACAGAGTACTTGCTGCATAAAAATACAAGACGTCATACCAAGGTCACATGGATGACTTGTTCAAGGCAGTAATAGAGAGTAAGTCAAACATAACTGCACGCTGTGCAAACTGGTCTATCTTTACAAAGATAAACACAGGTATGTTTGACAAATGTGCTGAAACCTCTGAAAACTTTCACATTAGAGGCAAACATCTGCATCGGACATTTGACATTTTGCTTTCCCAAGTCACCTATAATATAAATCATCTTTTCTATGGGCTCTCAGGTACATTTCAGCACATAACCCATTATTTAAGATGTGGCTTGTTGAGTAGAGGTGTGCTATTACTTTTCAAAGCAATCAGATTTACAACTTTCACCTATAGCTGACCATAAAGAGAGTGCAAAAAACAGGAGGGACCTGAAGTTATAAATAGAACCAGAATTTCAGAGACTTGAGACTGGAGAATGTAACCATCCAGAAAACCCTATAAAAGCACATTAAAGTCCACTCAGAATGCCTTAGCAACCGTATAGCAACACACTGGCAACCACCCAGAACAGGCCAGCATTGTAGCAGCAAGTTCTGCATGGGCAGGCAGCACTTTTCTTTACTTTGCAATTGGTTTTATGCAATTATTGCAGGATCTTCAAAGCGAGTGTGGACTGTGGAGTAAAAATAAAGACACACCAGACCTTTGCTGTCCACTGCACATCTCTCAGTAAATATGGCTCAGTTTAATGCAAACATTTCATTAAAACTCCCAAGGCTAACTTGTGGAAAATCACAGTGCAGCAGGGAGAAAAGGCTCCTTGAGATCAGGAGGAAAAGCAAACAATCATTCAAGCAATCGTCTGCTGCAAATGGCCTGCCTGTGTAAGCAGCACAAAGGGTAACTTGTATTTTTCTTTTTTTCTCTCCCTAATCCTATTAGGAAACTACTTCTCAAACAGTACAATTAGTGGAGTTGCACACCTGTTGGTGATTATCAGACTGCACATAACTGTGTGAGATTGTTACTCTTGTCATCTGATGAAGGCCTTCGACGGCTAAAACTTCATGTTGTTCTATTAATAAAGCTTGAACATTGAAGAGTGAGTGTTGCACCTTTGTTCAGCTCACAGGAATTCAAATTCACCTTAATTTTTGTCTCCACAACAATATTGAGAAAACAGATAAGAACATGTTGCATAATCTTAGTTTAGGAAAAAAAAAAAAAAAAATTATATATATAT